GAAGCTTGACACCCCGCTAGTTTGCGTGGGGAGGAGGGGGCTTGCTTTTGAGATGCGAATACGTGCGCGCGCGTGTGTCCCAGATCTGGCACAGATATGTGTGACACAACAACCAAGCAGTAGCGGTATGCGTAGTTGTTTACGAACAGTCACGCAGGTGTAAAAGGGTTGTCAAGTAGTTACGTGATGGTGAAATTTGAAGTGTACTTGGCACATGTCGGAAGCTAGTAGTGAGACTAAAAAGAAAGAATACTTTTTAAAGTATTTTTTAAAAAAAAGGACAGTCCAGCCAGCAGATGAGATTCTGTTTCAGCAGAGAAAAGGAGTTTTGTCCTTCAGAACAGCCAACATTTTGTTCTTTCAGAAGCAAGGCTTTTACAGCGAGAAACCAAATGAGGCTTCATTGCGCCTCTCAGCCCTGTCGCTGTAGCTTCCCTGGCTGGAATGGTGGGAAGAAAGAGTTGCTTAAGCTAAGGGAGTTTCACTGCCCACCCCTGCTAGTGAATTACTGGGGGGAAGAGTGGAGACAGGGAAAATGCAAGCCTAGATTGCAACTTCGGGGGTTTTAGTGCTGAATTTCCATTTTGGTTAATGATGAATCACTTCTTTTTTGGGGTTCGGTTGCCTTAGTGAACAACGTGTGCGGTAGCTTCTGTGAGCAATTGATGTCTTACTGTGATTCTAGATCATTTCATTGAAATTCAAAGTTCTAGTTAAAAAAAAAAAAACAAAAAAACCCTTTATTTCTCATGGGAGAAGCTGTCCAGAACTTTCTAATAACTGCCTGAAAATTTTTTGCTCACAGAGAACGGTGAAAGAGAATGTTATGTTGCATACGTCAAACCTTACAGTACAAAAGCTGGGTAATTGAGGGAAACAAATACACAGAGGTGGTTCGGATATGCAAGCACTACTTTTTGAGGGTTTTTTTCTATTAAAAAAAAGTCTTGTCTATTGAAGATGAAAAGCCTAAGGTTTGTAATTTTACCCTTAACTGCTTTAAAAATCTGTTAGTAGATGCTCTTGTGCAACTACAGAGGTCCCTGAATACGGTTCAGGTGGAAATTGTTCAGGAAAATACTGTTAAAATCGTGGCCGATCACTTACCTTTGTTGTGTTACAAGGACTGCTGCTGCGCTGGTTTGGGGAAATTACAACCTGAGGAACAGCGTGTGTGCGAGTTGTCGTTGAGATACTGATCTGTGGAGAGTTTAATAGGATCAATGTTATTTTAGTCTCTTTTACTATTAGAAGTAGCTTAGATATAGGGAATTACAGGGGAATGTTGTCTCAAAATTTTTCCTCAAAGCAGTTAGACTAGTATGTAAGTTGCTCCTTGTGTTTGGTGGTTGGGTTTTGGCTGGGGGGAGCATCCTTCCCGCTGGATACGCCTGGGAAGAGCCTGGCTCCATCTCCCTTACTGTCTCCCGTCAGGTATTGATACGCATGGATACGATCCCACCGAGCCGTCTCTTCCCCGAGCTGAATGGTCCCGGCTCTCCCAGCCTCCTCTCCTCCGTCGGAGTGCTGCAGGTACGGTGGAGGGGAGGAAGGAAATAGAGAGCCAGCCATCCCATTTCCGAACAGGGAACACAGTTTGGGAAAACCTGCGCATATAAGATAGCGTTCATCCTCTCGGACCGCTTGGGAAAAAAAAAAAGCATATTTGTAGATGTGTATCGCTCTCTGCCCCAAAGCTTAGATTAGTTCCCGTATCAATTCCACATCCTGTCACATCGTCCCTGGACGCTCAGTGCGGGTTTAGGAGCTGCGGGGCAAGACGCGGCCGGCCTTCGCCACCCCTGCAACCCCGCGCGTTTTATGCTCGGGCTCGGGGCATGTCCGGAGAGGTGCTGGATCTGATCCTTCCCAGGCTGGGGCGGGCAGCAGCCCCGGGAGCGTTAGGCCCTCACGAACGGGGAGCGTACAGAGTAGCGCGTGGCCCGTTCTAGGAGACGCTGCCTGCAGTCAAGTTGCTGGGAATCTGGTGTGGGTAAGTGCTGTGAGACAAACTCCTTTTTGTAGCTGAAACGTGCCGAAGGTGGAACACAAAGTGCTGGCTGTGTTGTAAGGACGTTTCTAGGAGCGGCCAAAGAGACTTTGCTTGCAAGGCTGCAACGTGT